CGCCCCCTCCACAGTACGCCTCTCCCCCCTCTCCGTGGACTGGCACCCCGGTGTCTGGTGTGGCCCAGCAGTGAAGAGCCTTGTGTGTGGTCCGCTACGGACCTCTTTCATGCTATTCTGCCTGAGACGCTCTTCCCCTTTTATCATCCGGACAATTTCTGCACTTTCTTCAAGTCTTCTTGACTTGCTTTCTTCAAAAACTGAACAATTCTTATCCTCTCTTCTATGCTTTCTTCAAGCGTTATATCCCTGACACATCGACCATAATATGCACCATTCTGTTCTCCTGTGCACCCCACGTACACTCCTGTTACAGTGTTTACATTGTACGGTGATTTATCTTTTTTAAAAAAATTATTTTGAAGTCATCTCTACACCCAATGTGGGGCTCGAACTTAGAACCCCGAGATTAAGAGTTGTGTGCTTCCTGACTGAGCCGGCCAGTCGCCCCCTGTACCATGATTTCTTGTCTGTCTCCCTCAGTATATGTGACTGAAACCCACACGACACAGGCTCTGGCACAAAGCATGGCTCAAGCAATACTCATGTAATGACTACTGGATCCATCAACTGCTTATTAAGCACCAACTATATGCCAGCCCTGTACTCGATTTTTAATGCGAATCGTTCAAAGTGAATATACTTATTTCTAAATCTATAAAAGTGAATGAGGGGCTCCTGGGTGGCTCGGTCGGTTGAGCGGCTGGCTTCAGCTCAGGTCATGATCTCACGGTTTGTGGGTTCGAGCCCCACATCTGGCTCTGTGCTGACAGCTGGGAGCCTGGAGCCTGCTTCAGATTCTGTGTCTCCTTCTCTCTCTGCCCCTCCCTTGCTCACACTCTGTCTCTCTCTGTCTCTCAAAAATAAATAAACATTAAAAAATTTTTTAAAAAATAAAAATAAACCTATAAAATGAAAAGTAATGAGCGTATTTTGTTGGCTCCTGGGCCAGCCTAGCAGACCTATATCCAGACTAGTGTACCTTCCAACAGGTACAGTGTCTTCAAATTTTCTAGAACTTTTCTTTGGGGAAAAAAAAAAAAAAAAACATAGCCCATAGCACATTCTTTGGAATCTTCTCAGGGAGGCCTTTGTTTCCTGAAGGCAGACTTGATTTTTGGAGGCAGGTAAAAGCCACTTGGCAGCGAACCCAGTGAATGAGGTGGGTGATGGAGCCGAAGAACATTATTTTCGGTTCCAAACAAGGTGTGACTATAAAGAACCAAAGCTCGTTTTCTTATTCGGTGCATAAACTGGCTCAAGAGCAACTTCAAAAGAAGACCTCCAAAAATGTTGTGGTCTTGGCAAGAAGGAAATCGCTCCAGTACCCACTCACACACACACTCTCTCACCACCTCCCCCCCCCCCCCCCCCCCCCCCCCCGCATGGTGTATAGTGTCTGCCCCGATATACAGACAAGTAAAATCCAAAACCCTTGGAATTTAGTTGTAAAAACTCAACTACACAGATCGGGGCTGGAAGAGACCTGGCTTGGTAGCCATTCTTGCAAAGACATTGGGGGTTTCAGTTGGCCCGAAGCTCACCATGCACACGGAGTGTACCGTGGCTTCCAGGCGAGCGTCTGTTTCCTAGGACCGCTCTGGTGGACGCCCTGGGCTTCCGTGGGAACACAGCTTCCCATGCTGCGTTCCGCTCAGGCTCTAGCAGCATCCTGGGCTCAGCCAAGAGCAGGATGGCATCAGAGGGCCACTGACCCACTGGAGCACGGAGCAGGGCTGAAGGGGATGAGGGAGCGGTTTCGAACAACCACAAAATAAACCCAGAAGAGGCAAGAGTCAGTGATTGAAAATTATCGGTGAAGAACCGCTGTGTGGAAAATGGCGTCAGCTTGATCTCAGGTTGGGCTGTCTGGAGGAGCCAGAACCAGTGGGTGAGGATTCTAGGAAGGCAGGTCTAGGCTTAGCCTAATAAAGACTGATTCCTCTTATGGAATTGTAGGGTTAGGATAGTCTCGTGTGTGTGAAAATACATGTACAGAGAAAGAGAGGAAGGATATGAATAAAAATATTTCATAGTAAAATCTATGGGGGATGGAATTATGGGGTAAACGTCCTTTTTAAAACTTTATATAATGTTATATTATTAGAATTTTTATTACCGGGGCGCCCGGGTGGCTCAGTGGGTTAAGCACCCAACTTTGGCTCTGGTCACAATTTCATGGTTTGTGAGTTTGAGCCCCGCATTGGGCTGTGTGCTGACAGTGTGGAGCCTGCTTGCGATTCTCTCCTCTGCCTCACCCGCACTCACACTTTCTCTCTCTTTCAAAATCAATAAGCAAATTTTATAAAAACAGACTTTTAAAATTATCTACGTGTATTTCTTTTGCATAAAATAAGTTTGCTAAAATTTGGAGGTAACCAGCAACCAAATGGGCTACGTTGTGACATAGTGAGAGCCCTGCCTTAGGCAGTAACCAAATGAAGATCGTGGGATGAGACAGCAGGTCTTTTCTGGCCTAGGGATTCCATATGTCACTCTATGATTTCACCTTGTTCAAGTACCAGGGTTGGGCTGGTGGAAGGTCACACGTGCATTCACAGGGAAAGAGAAATAGTCTTCTTACCATAATTCATGTGTAGGAAGTTTAAATCAAAGGGTAGAATAAACACTTCAAAAGTGAAAAGCCACCAACTAGCTGTGAAACTGGATTCTGAACTAGAGGAATAAAGAACATGGAAGGCTAGGGAAAGGCACGGATAGAAAGTGAAAAGAGACAGGCTATTAGGTGCAAGAAAACATCAGTAAAAGCTGGCCAAGTATCTATGGTTTGTAAATGGGTATGGTTTTCCATGGGAATCCCAAGTATTTCGCTGAAGCCAGCAGGCCGTGGCTAGCCCAGAAGAGCTGTCTTCTGCCGTCATCACTTAGCCTTGATGGACCCAAGCTGGCAGACAGGGTACCAAGACAGCAGACACACCGGTTGGCCTGGGTCGTGTTCTGGGGTCTGAAGCGTGTCAGATGTGACCTTAGGCTACCAAAGTCCCGAGAGGTGTACGGCACACACGCGGCGTCAGCGCTGGCCAAGACGAGGCTGCTATAGAACGAGAGCGACGAAGAGGCCAGACATCTTGTCCTGATTGTCCACTTCACAAAAGGGAAACTGAGGCCTGGAGAGGGGAAGTGACTGAGAAGGGTGTGTCAAAGCTGACAATCCTGGGGCACCTGGCTGACTGTCGGTGGAGCATGTGACGCTTGATCTAGCGGTTGTAAGTTCGAGCCCCGTGTTGGGTGTAGGGATTACTTAAAAATAAAATCTTAAAAATAAATAAAAGCTGACAACCCTTTTCATCTCCTGGGAGGAAGAATGGACTTTAGTACAGTCTTCTCCTGCCCACGGGCATAAAACCTGGTTTCAGAACCACAAATTATTTTTAGCACATTAAATCAAAACCTTCCTGCAGAATGACAGGGACAGTTATTAGGCGATACGTCAGCTCTAGTTCCTTCTACTGGTCGGGTGTTGCTATCATATCACACCCTGAGTCCAGGGAGGAAACCTTCGCAGTATTCAGGTTTCCTGAATCCAAGAACAAAGATTCCTACAAATCTCATTCAGACACAGAAATAATGATGGCTTGAAAAACAAAGATAATTCCCTCTCCAGTCTCACCAGCCGCTACAAATCGCCGAAACCAGATTCACAAATACAACGGATTGTAGTCTTCAACAAAAGCAACTGAAGGAAACACTACACCGCACGTTTCCAATTCGTGTTTGTGAAAATGTCTGCAAAGGTTGAAAATAAACATTGGAGACCAGGGGTCCGCGGGAGACCCAGACAGAAGTGTGTTGGTGACAGCAGGACAAGGCGGGACGAGAAGTTGTGAGAAATTATGCCTCCCGTGTCCTGCATGGTGACCTCTTGCCATGGGACAGAAATTGGAGATCCTGGCGGGGACCACCTTCTAGAATCAAAGGGGACTCAGGTCCCTTCCTTGACCCTTGCTCGTGCTCCTTGGCCGTGTCTCACCCTCTCTTTCTTATCTTTATTCGGCTCCTCCTGTCCTTGCCCTCAGGTGGGAGTCGAGTCCCTGCCCATGAGAAAGAATCGGTAATGTTTCCGTTGACCTGAGCTGGCAGACGGGCAATATGCTGGCATCGTAACAGTGTCAAGTCGGTGATTCCTGAGGTTCTTTGGCGGCAGAAGGTCCAAATATCGACATCCGGGCCACTATCACCTGTGACGTTGGAAGTGTGAAACCCAGCTTTAAGTTGTCATACTGGCCTCGGATGGACAGAGAGCTGGTACCGAAGTTAGGATGGGTTTCAGACCCTCTGCTCCGGGAGAACAGGGATCCAATCTCGTTCTCGTTTCCACCGTCTCCAGCATCTGGTGCAGTATCTGACATGCAATAGGGACCCCAAACCTAGTTGTTGAATCAACAGGTGTTGAAGAAGCCCACCTGTAGCCAGGAGTGAACGTGGCTGCTTCCTGTAAATCATGCCACCTCTGCAACCCGACCCAGGGCAAGTGCTGGGCCTGTCATGCGGCAGCCCCTGGAGAAGGGGGCGGAGAGCGAGCCCGAGACAAGAGCAGAGAAGCTTGGGGAATCGTTTCTTTGCACGGTTATGATTTCCTGGACCCGTGTCTCTGGGTTGGGGGAAGGGGGAATATTAATCACGTGATTGTACATGAGCCACACAGAGGGTTTCTTTTTGGGCAAAGCTTTTTCAGCAAAGGGGAGATTTGTAAAGGGAGATAGGAACTTTCTGGGATACCTCTGGTTTCATAGGCAAGACACGCTAAGACACTCCAAGATTTCTACGTGGAGATTATGCACCGGCTTTGATGGGGGCTGGGGGCCAGGATTGATACCCGGCCAAAAGGCGGGCGAGGAGGCAGAGCTGGGGGACCTCACTGACGTCTGATGGGATTTTCTCCTGCCCAACAGAAAGCTGGGCAAGGAGGAGGAAAAACTCCACACGGTCACCATGTACGAGGGCTTACAAAAAACACCCAATGCGCTTTTATTTGAGCATTTATTTTTTTTTTTTTCAAAGAAATCCATGCAAAGGGAAAGAGAAAGAGAGAGACCAAGAGAGAGAAAGACATGGTAACCATGTTCTAGCAGCCAAACATAGGAAAATAATTTGGCACAACTTGAGTGTTTTTTTTTTTTCTTTGCAAAAAGACAATCTACACTACCACTAAAATTTACCTTCCTCAAAGACGCCATTTGATTTTCGAAAACATAACACGTGGTTAGTCTTCTACTTAATGGCTGGAGGAGGTATACAAGATAAAAAAAATAGAAAAAAAGAAGAAGGTAGGTCCCCTTCTAGGGGAGGACCCCAGGGTGCTGAGGGGCAGCACGTGTGCTGTGCACTAGGAAGTCAGTGCACCAGGAAGAAAAAACACGCCACATAGATCGCCAAGCTGGTTAGAACCTTCAGGGGGAAATGGCCGCTCCCGAGGTTGTGAGAGGCCACTATCTCATTGTCCTTTTGATTCGCGTGCTGCTTGTTTCCAGGCGCGTCATCCACATCCAGATCGTAAGCCAGTTCTGCCAAAAGAAGAGAAGAATGTGAAATACAGGATTGCCGATCGCATCGGCTGTAGGCTAGTGGTGGCACCAGCATTTGTCTGGATTGCTGGGATGCCTCAGCTCTCGTGGAAAGAAGGCGGCCAGGAGGTGGGGAGGAGACAGGGGGCTGGGGGGGGGGTCCCCCAGTGGAAGGAGATGGCTAGAGGGGCTCCTTGCAGAGGTCACACCAACCACACCAACGGGGAGAAGCTGACTGCTTCCCCTCCCCCTTTTGGCTCCGCTCACACCCAAGGGGGCACATTGGCGCTTTGTAACTCCCCTCCTCCCCCCCACCGCAAGGCTGTGCTTGAAGGTCGCTTTCACCACATCTCACCGGTATTGAAATGGAAGGTGCTGGGTGGGTGACTATGTGTGTGCCCTTGTGTGTGTGTATGTGTCAGAGGGGTGGGAGGCAGGGTAGTTTGCCATTAAAAGTTGCTTTATTTTCCCCAAATATTTCTTCATTGATCTTTGCGGTCTTTTCATCCCACCCCTTAAAACACACACACACACACGCACATGCACACGCACACACAGCAAAACCAATCTAATGGATAGGATTTAAAGTGATACCAAGCAAAGACCAAGGCGAGGCTGATGGGTAAGGGCGTGCCTTCTTTGACCACCCACCATTTATGAGATATGTTCATGATTCTGAAAAGAAACTGGGATGTTGACGTTGGCCTAATTCGAACATCTCTCAGAAGGCAAACCTAAGTAGGCAGTGGTGTATCAGGAAGTTCAAGACGGCCAGCCCTGGGCCAGAGGTCAGTTTCTTTCAGATTTGTTTTTCCAGACTTAGAACTCAATTCTACTCCCTTGACTTTTCTAGACTCCATTGCCAATGTGGCTATTTCAATAGCTTGGGAAGGTGACGTGATGTGAGTGCCCTCAGCGGCCAACTGTCCTGTGGCCAGCGGAGCTGGAAAGATCCCTCGGGGACACTGAGATGCAGAACAACAGGCACAGAGGAAATGATTGGGATTCTACAGAGGGAAGGAAGGAAGGGGAAGGAAGAGCTCCTCTTACAAGGGATGAAACACTCACTAAAGTCACAGGAAGAAAGTGTGGGGACTTAGCTGGTGCAGGATGCGCACAGAGCGGCGCCCGGGACCAGGGTGGCTCCGAAGCTGCCAATGCTTACAGCAGGCAGCAAGGTCAAGGTGATCAAAGCGGGGGGGGGGGGGGAGGGGGGATTACACAGACTGCAACACTCCTCTCCAAGAGGGCTACTGTAGTTTCTAATGCCACCAGCAATGGGGAGAAAACCGACTGACTGGTCTCAATTGAAAAAAGATAACGTGGTCCGCATTAGATGATACAGTAAGATTTCTTTAATTGTATGTATTTGGTTACCGTACAGATCAACTTTTTCTATATCGTAGTTTACTAGTTACGTGTCGTAATGCCTAACAGTCTATACCCTTTGCCTTTTTATCTGACAGGTATTAAGATTTTTCCTATTAATTTGAATATGTATTTTATTGAATCCTTTGCCTATCATATTTGATACAAATAATGTTTCTATCTTGTTGTTACCTATACTTGTTTTCCATTGCTGTACAAAGAAACCATGTCCTAACTTTCCGCATATATGAATCTGACTACATTCTGCTCCTCTAGGGCTGAGAAAGTTTTTCGCCTTGAGTGCCAGTAAGAATACAAATCCAATTTTTCAGAGAACCCTCTCACCCAGGGAAAAGCGACTCACCAGACTATAATCTGGATTCCCTCTCCCTGTAAAATAAATACATACAAAGAAAAGAAAAAGAAGAAAAGAACAAAGAGCGGTGCTCTGTTTGGAAGTCGGGCGTCTTTCTCTGAAAGCTGAACTATGCAGAGCACACAGGCAAGGCTGAGGTCAGCACGGGCTTAGGTCATGATCGGGTTTCACCAAAGCTGAGAACACATATGGCTCTATCTGTTGAAAGCCCAGCCTTGAGTCTTGAGGCAACTTCTCAACTTAATTGCAAGGGAGTATTTTTAGGGTTGACCTGAATGACAGAACTCTTAGCTCTGCTTCCAGATTCCTCTTCCGGATATTCCCTTTGCCCCACGTCAAGATGAAACATCTATTAATGTTACCACTGGGCCCCTGTGCTATTTATCTTGCTCTTCGAATAATCCGCGAACACTGACCAAGTTTCATGTAGTAGAGCAGTTATGGTGAGCCCAGCGGACGCCAAGTCTGGTAGTTTCTAATCTCCTATGCCAACCAACACCTCTTTTGTTATTTCTACCTTTTGGACCCTTTGTTTCACAATTGTAAAAATGATTACCAGTTATTGAGTCCTCGCTGTGTGCCAGGCACTGTACTAAGCTACTTAGGTACATTATCTCATTTAATTTAACCTCTTCAACAGTGTTGCAAGGTAGCCGATATGATTCCCATTTTACTGATGAGGCAGCTCCAACCCGGGTTACTTTTTTGGCCCATATTTGCACAGCTGGTCAGTGACAGAGGTGCTGTTTGAACACAGGTCTGACCCTGAAACCTCATATGAAGCTGTACCATCTCTTGAACAATGTTGTATATCAAATAGACTGTAGTAGTTTGGTAGCAATGGATTTTTTTTCTTGGAAAAAAAATACATCTTGATTAAGGAAAATACATAATACCAAAGAGACCTTCTCAAAAGCATGACAAAAGTCCAGAGTTTCCACATAAAAGTGGTTGCATACTTGTTTGAGGAGCATTATTAAGGTCTGTGAAATCCTGTAAAGAGGTCTGGGCAACTTGGGGGACCAAGAATGGTAATTATGTCACTTCTATTTCCCTGAAGAAATCAGCAGTGATGGTCAGGGCTATTCGATACCCCAAGCACAAAGCTGGCCCGAGTCTTCCATCTACAAAGGGCCCCCAGGAATATTCAGAATACCTTTGTGCGCTTCCGAAGCTGTGCCTGACGGTTTTGTGAGGCTCCCCATTTAACGGCAGCAACCCTGTGGCTGGGCTTCTATGGCTTACAGTGATGGGGGTTTCACCAAAGACACGCCCTGGGCCTGGGTCACCATCATGGATACTAGTGACAAAGGGGGCAGCTTAGCACGGTAATGAAGTATTTATAGGAGATAGAGGAAATAGGGTTTTGGTCAAAGATAAATGTGGACATCCTTGGATGGGGGGAATATAATCCTCTTTGATTCAACAAGCTTAATGGTAGCCTACAAGGTCCCAAGCATTGAGCTAGAAGGTTGGAGAAAGACTTAGTGCCTGCCTTTAGGAATCCCGCCCTCTGGCAAGGGAAACAGACTAATAGACAAACCTACGGGGAGCTCGGCAGAAGGTAGTGAGGTAGAGATAGAGGTAACAATCAGAATGCCCTGGGGAGAGAAATCTCCAAATAGAAGGCTCTGGGAAGACTTCTCAGAACAACTGGGATACAATCTACACCGTGAAGGCTGGACGGCACAGCTGAATGAGATGGTTATTCATTTCAGGCAGGGAGTTCAGCTTGAGCGGAACCATCAGTATCAGAGGGTGCAGGGAGGGCACGCTCAGGGGGAGCACGCAGTCCGTCCGATGGGCGGGAACGCACGGTGTCCACTGCTGTGGTGTGCGTGTGTGCTGAAGGGTGGCTGATGAGAGGTAAGGCAGGAAGGACACGTAAGGGCCATATCGCGATGGATTGGGAATGCTGACTTTACTCTGTGGGCAACAGGGAGCCACTGAAGGTTTTTAAAAGTAAAAAAATCAGTCTGATTTGTGTTTTTTTAGAAAGATCATTGGTAAGAGTTTGTAGGACAGCCCTAAGTGGGAGAGACTGTCAGACATCGTTTCTTAGAAAACACAGGAGGCCTGTGGAAAAAGTATCTGGGGTTTAGCCAGTAGCATCTGGGGTTTAGCCAGTAGCAAAATAATTAAAAAAAAAACCTACAAGAGAACGGGGCGCCTGGGTGGCTCAGTCGGTTAAGTGCCCAGCTTTGATCTCAGCTCAGGTCATGATCTCACGGTTTGTGGGTTTGAGGCCCACATCAGGGCCTGCTTGGGATTCTCTCTCTTCCTCTTTCTCTGCCCTCCCCCGTGTGCACAAGCATGCACTCTCTTTCTCTCTCAAAATCAATAAATAAACTTAAACCTACAAAAGAGGTAAAGCTACACCAAACCAAAACCTTCACATTTTGCTACAAACTAGATCTATTATGAGAATCATTTTAAACCATTCTCTTTTAAAATTATCTTTTAATGTTTATTTTTGAGAGAGAGAGAGAGAGAGAGAGAGAGAGAGAGAACGAGTAGGAGAAGGGCAGAGAGAGAGGGACACACAGAATCTGAAGCAGGCTCCAGGCTCTGAGCTGTCAGCACAGAGCCCAACATGGGGCTCGTAGGGCTTGAACCCACGAACTGTGAGATCATGACTGGAGCTGAAGTCGGATGCTTAACCAACTGAGCCACCCAGGTACCTCTTATACTATTCTCTTTTAAATCATTCATGGTTTTATCAGTGATTTCCCAGAAAATATCTTTGCTATATTAGGTACACACTGTAAAATGCACACAAATTGTTTCTACCATGCAACTGAGGGTCAGTGAAACACACCCAGAGGGTAGAGCCAACAATTCGTACTAATTGCACACTCAGCCCTGACTCTCATTTTGCCCTCCTTAGTACTGCAGGTTAGGTCATCTCTTTAATTATTTATTTAAGTAAACTCTACACCCAATGTGGGGTTTGAACTCGAAATCCCGGATCAAGAGTCACATGCTCTACTGACCAAGTCAGCCGGCGCCCCTCGATAATCCCTTTACAATAACTGTCAGTCATTAAGGTCTGAACTTTACTTTGAGAAGTTTTTCTGAGTTGGGCAAAGCACTCAGTGGGGAACCCTCCGGCCTTAGTTATTCAGAGTCGCCCAGTGGAGGTCCTAAGGAAGGCTGTCCCAACCGCAGAGTCCGGAGCTGGGCTCGGCCATTGTCTGACTAGTTCTCGTTGGCAACTCATTTTCCTCTACCCTGGGCTTCTGTCATTCCATCTGCC